GTAACTGTCTGCGCTGCCGGCTTCTGGCGTTGTTTGCCTGCTTTTTGGCCTTGAGCCCCTGGCGCCCCTGCTCCCGCGGTTAGGTGCAGCGGGCCCGCCTCCCCGCCCTCCGTCCTTCAGCTCCTGCTCCCCCAGGACTGGGGTCCCAGGTGAGCGCCTCCAGCGCGGCACGCAGGTGGAGCAGGACAGGGGAGTAAGTAGCAGCCACGTGATGTTTGCAATGGGAAGTGAGCGCTCCGCGCAGTGCTGACCTTCATCTATCACCCTTGACTGATGGCTGCTGGGGGGACCAACACCGTGGGGCCACAGGGAGAGCGCAGTCTGAGGTCCCCTCCTGTCCCACGCATTGTCACCCTCCCGCGGGTGGCTTCGGGCTCATCTTTTCACGGTCTCGGGAGTTGCTCCTCTTGGGTCAAAGTGCGAGCCCAAGTCTGTCCAGCAGTCACACCCGAGACCACTCTCCATTTTTTCTCGCCCGGTGTTCGTTTTCTCTTACTTTTCTTCCAGGGCAGAGGTTTGTAGTTGAGGGAGAACACGAAGAAAGTGAGGGTGGGCGAGAAGTCCCTACGTGACTGATGAGCTCTTCTTTTTTTTTTTTTTTTTGTTCTCTCTCCCAGCTCTTCTGTCGGGAAACTGGTGTCTCTTCCCTTGCTGTTCCTCAGCCCCCTCTCTCCCCCTTGCTTTCTCACCTTCTCTGGGACCACTCACCCAAAGACCTCCCTTCTCCCCTGCCGGCCCAATTATGGCAGAGAATGATGTGGACAATGAGCTCTTGGACTATGAAGACGACGAGGTGGAGACAGCAGCAGGTGGAGATGGGACGGAAGCTCCTGCCAAGAAAGACGTGAAGGGCTCCTACGTCTCCATCCACAGCTCCGGCTTTCGAGACTTCCTGCTCAAGCCAGAGTTGCTCCGGGCCATCGTGGACTGTGGCTTTGAGCATCCATCAGAGGGTACATTTTATTGTTGGGCATAGGGACCTCATGATGCATCTTAAAGATGGGATTTGTGTTTAGGGTATATAGGCCAGGCAATGAGAATGTACCCAGATGTTAGCGCTAGAAGATGCTTGTTAGCTTTGATCACACAGGATGCTGTTTGTCCTGTGCCCAGGTTTTCTTGTTTGCTTGATCGTCTTTCTGACTGTTTGGCTGGAGTTTTACATCCAGTATTTTGGGCCAGGCCACCTGGGGTCTTAATGATTGCTCTAAAGTTGCTGGCTTCTGGGGCAAGTACCAAGTCCTTCATTTTGTCCAAGGTTATAGAATGCCAGGCACATGGAAGGTAAGCTGTTGGTAGGTGCAAGAGGGTTTGCGCCAGGGAAACCTGAAGCTAGGATGCAGTTGAGACTTGATTTGGGTGTAAATGTGACTAAGGGGACAGAGAGGATGGGTCAGTCTGAAAAGTGACAGGGACCAGGCAAAATCTGGAGAATCAACTCGAGGAAAGGGGTTTGGTATGGTGCATAAAGTCTCTCTCTTTCTCCCCTTTTTCCTTCTAGTCCAGCATGAATGCATCCCACAGGCCATTCTGGGGATGGATGTCCTGTGCCAGGCCAAGTCAGGCATGGGGAAGACAGCAGTGTTTGTCCTGGCCACACTGCAGCAGCTGGAGCCAATCACTGGGCAGGTGTGTTTGAGGCAGTGCTGCAGAGGGCTTTGAGGCCGATACACTGAAGGCTGTTTGTGGCTACATAATGCTTACAGCAGCAAGGCTTACTGTTTTAAACCTCAGATTTGATGTCACAAATAACTTGACAGATGCTGCTGTTGACAGTCACTCTGGAGAGAGGGTGACAAAGGACTGATAGGGTGTTGTCTCCATTTGTTCCCTTGAAGGTGTCTGTGCTGGTGATGTGTCACACTAGGGAGTTGGCTTTTCAGATCAGCAAGGAATACGAGCGCTTCTCAAAGTACATGCCGAATGTCAAGGTAAGGGTGAGGCGCTTGGGACAGCGGAGGTCCTGGGAGCTTGTGGGGTAACAGTTGACTGTCCTGAGGCATGGAGCCGCTGTAGTTGATGAGTTCCTGAAGGCTGCATAGGAGCCTTTAGTACAGTGACAGGCTCTTCTGATCCACAAAGTCAGTTCAGGGGGCCTGGGCTACTCAGTGAGAGGAAGAAAAGGAGACTCTGCAGGAGACTGGATCCTTGCCCTTTCCTGTGACACTTTGCTGTTGGCTGACAGGTGGCAGTGTTTTTTGGCGGTCTGTCTATCAAGAAGGATGAAGAGGTGCTGAAGAAGAACTGCCCACACATCGTGGTGGGGACTCCTGGCCGAATTCTAGCCCTGGCTCGAAATAAGAGCCTGAACCTCAAGCACATTAAACACTTTATCTTGGACGAATGTGACAAGATGCTTGAACAGCTCGGTGAGTGGCAGTGCTCCGCCTGGGCTCAGGTGCTTTGGGGAGCTGCCCCTTGGAGCCCAATGATGTTTGTTTGACACAGGAGCACTTGCGTGCAAGGACGACTCGTGACCTATCACCCATGACTGATGGCTCTGGACAGCAGTGGTTCCACCTTTCTAATGACATAACCCTCCTAGGGTTGTGCTGACCCCAACCATAGATTATTTTTGCTGCTATTTCATAGCAAATTTTGCTACTGTTAAGAGTCACATGTCAATATCTGATATGGGGCCCTTGGGAAAGGGTTATTTGACCTCCACCCACCCACCCAAGGGGCCTCGACCCACAGATTGGGAACCTCTGCAGTATAGCCTGTGTGGTCAGAATTGATAAGTGAGCAGGTTTCTAGAGTTCAATTCTGCAATTCATCTGGTGAGTCATGTGTTCTGGTGGTGTAGTGTGCCAAGTGGGGTTAAAAGAGAATATTAAGAATTTTGTTGGGGGCCGGGTGGTGGTGGTGCACAGCTTTAGTCCCAGCACTGGGGAGGCAGAGGCAGATGGATCTCTGAGTTTGAGACCAGCCTGGTTTTAAAGAGTGAGTACAGGAAAGTCTCAAAGCCATAGAAAACCTGTTTGGAAAAACAAAAACAAAAATAAAGAATTTTGTTGGGGGCTGGAAAGATGGCTGATAGGTTAAGAGCACTGGCTGCTCTTCCAGAGTTCACAAGTTCAATTCCCAGCAACCACATGTGGTGGCTCATAGCCAGGGTAGTGAGATCTGGTGCCCACTTCTGGCCTATGGGCATAAATGCAGGCTGAACACTATACATAGTAAATATTTTTTTAAAAAAATGAATTTTGGGGGCGTCACTGAAGGAATGGCTCATCCACAAGAGCACTGGCTGCTTTCAGAGGATCTGGGTTTGATGCCAGCACCAACATGGCAGCTCATAACAGTCTATTCCTCTCGGGCTCCATGGGCACCATATAAAACAGCACAGACCCCAAAATGTGGGCAAAATGCCCATGCATATTAAACAAATATTTTCATGGGCTAAGAACTGGAGAGATAGCTCAGCGATTAGAGAACTGGCTCTCTTTCAGAGGACCTGGTTTTCATCCCAACACATACCTCAGGGAAATGTGTAACTGTGTAACTCCAGTTCCTGGGGACTCAAACCTTCCTGTGCTTTCTTTGAGCACTAGGCACATGGCCAGTACATGGACATAACATGCAGGCAGAACACCTACACACATAATAAAGGCTAAAGAGAACTTAGTGGTGGTGTACACCTTCAATCCCAGATTAATGTAAGATTGTGGGTCTCTAAGTTGGAGGACAGCCTGGTGAACAGAGCAAGTTCAAGGACAGTCAGGACTAAACACTGACACTCTGTCTCTAAAAACAAAACAGCTTTCGTGCCTTTAATCCCAGGTGGATCTTTATGAATTACATGTCAGCAAGGGCTACATAAAGCCTGGTACAAGCTCTAAGTTTATTAATTTTAATTTTGTGGGTGCTTCCATAGAGGCCAGCAGCATTGAGTTTCCCATGGAGCTCTAAGTTACAGACAATTGTGGGAGCTGCAAACCTAACCCGGGTCTTCTGGGCCTCTCTCTCTAGCCTCATAACTTGTGTTTGAGGGCTACTGTTCCTGAACCTATGGTAGATTTTATCCCCATTTTATTAGTTTTGACTTTGGGTCCAGAGACATTTCTTGAATGGTTTCAAAAGTCAATACATAGCTCCTGATCCCCCTGCCTCCACCTCTTAGTGCTGGGATTACAGGATCGTCCCACCAAGCCTGCCTGGTTCCTGTAGGTAATGGAGAGAAGGGGCCCACTTTTCCAGAGTGACTTCTGGATTATCACTGGCTGTGGCCTCAGGGCACTGAAATCACAGACGCGTTTCCTCCTGTGACTCTACCCTGCAGACATGCGTCGGGATGTCCAGGAAATTTTTCGCATGACCCCCCATGAGAAGCAGGTCATGATGTTCAGTGCTACCTTGAGCAAAGAGATCCGGCCAGTCTGCCGCAAGTTCATGCAAGATGTAAATACCCTTCTACCTTCTCTCCCTCCACTCCCCGCCCGATGCCTCCTCCCCCTCCTCGCCCTCTTCCTCCAGACTCCCTTGTCCTTCAAGCACCAAGAAGGGAGCTTATGTCCATCTGGGAGTGACGACTCCTTGAAGAAAAACAGAGAGGCAGAGACAGTTAGCGATAGGGGCTGTGCGCGTGCCAGGGACACTCCGGAAGACTTGGTCGGGCTAACGTGAGAGCGGGTAGCATTTGACATTTTTGAATCACATGTTTGAGCCTCTTCTCCCTACCCAGGGGTAGGGCAAGATTTTGTGCCCTATCGCCTGCCCATCAACTCCACACACCCCACAGCCACACCCCCTCCAGGTGGCATGGAGCCTTCAGCTGGAGCTTCTGTTCCCCGAAACTCAGACATGTCAGTGGCAGGAGAGCAAGACAGGGACAGTCAGTCAAGTGGCAGGGCCTGTCCAGAAGAAGAACAGACAAACAGCACCATAAACCCACCAGTCCCCACCTCCAAGGGCGGGGGCCTTTGGCACCTCAGCCCCGCAGCCCCCCACTCCTTCCTGTCCATACCTCCTTGCACCCATCGGAGCCTTGGTTGATGAGAGCTGACAGCAGAGAAGCACTGAGGCACGACGGGAGAATTCAGACCTACGAGCCGTGGATGGCAGCAGCGGAGGCCACGGGGAGCCTGACCAGGATGCTGAGGACCAAGCCAGCCTCTTTTCCTGTGCCCGGTTTTTTCCTGAACCTAATGTGCTGTACCCCGTTTTCCCCATACCTGTTGGGAGGGTGTCTTGAGTGGGGTGGTGGATTTTTTTCCTTTTTGTTTTTTATGATGGGAAGAGACAAAAGACAAGTTGTACTGAGATGTAACAAGTGGGTCTCGGTGCCGAGACTGAGCAGGGGGTGGGGTGTCCTTCCCTCCCTGACCCTTTCCTTCCCTTGAGAAGATGCTTTGCTCTTGGGCCAGGCGAGGGGCTAGAATTAGGAGGAGGCTGTGAGACTTTATTTGGGGAGTTTCCTCGCCAGGCTGCTTTCTGGAAGAGACTTCTGTGACACCCACTTAGTCCCTTGCTCTATGTGAACTGTCTCAGACAGGATGGAGAGTGGGGAAAGTCTGTCCTGCAGTTAACTGGTGTCTGTCCATTGTTGATGTCCTTTTTCCCTTCAAGGGTTGGGGTGGGTGTACAGTTTTTGTAAAATGTAAGGTCCATTCCTTTCAATTGTCCTTTTCCCTTTGATGCAGAAACCTCTCTATTATTAGATGTTCACAGAAAAAGAACAGGGCAGGGAAGCTGTAAATCTCACAGCTGCTGGGAGGAGGGAGCAGGAGGAGAGGAGGAGAGAAGCCATGCCCTTAGAGTCCAGGAAAGCGGACATCTGCAGGGGTGAGGGCTCCAGAGAAATGGAAGGTGCTGAGGGTCGGTCAGGAGTTAGAGCTCAGAAGGTGCAGGTTCTGTTGTGGGCTGTGGGAAAGAGCCTGTACTTCTGTTGGCCAGCACAGTGTGTTCATCCCTCACCTCCCAAGTATAGACGGTTTGACTCTGAATTTAGAAAAATCCCTTCTAAAGCTGAGTAGTGTGTTGAGTACAAGGTGTCTCACAGCTTGAGCAATGTGTGCTTCTCTTTAATAACTTCTACCTCAACCACCCGAGAGCTGGGATCACAGCATGCCACTAAGGCCCAGGTTTTGAATGGCGTTTTTGGCTGTGTCCATTGCAGCCTTCTGGTCTTGGACATTTGCTGAAGTACAGAGAGGACAGTTGAGTGGGGCAGTCAGCCCTGGCCTGTTGTGGTGTCGATGCCCAGGCCGGTTCACTGCTGCCTCTGCTGTGTGTTCTGACTATGCTGTCCCCTGGAGTACCATCTCCATTGCTCACTCTCCCCTGGAGTACCATCTCCATAGCTAACTCTCCCCTGGAGTACCATCTCCATAGCTAACTCTCCCCTGGAGT